TATCGATATCTCCCACCTTGAGCTTCTCTGTTACTTATTCGCAACAAAATGCTAATGTGACAGATAATCTGTTTGCAGTTTGATAAGGTTTTGACAAGAGAGATAACAAGAATTTCCTCCAACAAAGTGACATATAGAAGTTGCCAGTGTAACAGCTTGATTACTGCTACAGTCCACCAAAGGATGTTTGCTGACCATCTTGTGTGTCATCATTACAAGCTGTAATAACATCCTTCTCATGCGATATGAGCCACGTCCGCAGCCCTCCCAGAAACCACTAACTGTTAGACATATTTGGGTCAAATGGGAAATTCAAGCTTTCAGATCAAGAGTATCTTTAATCTTCTCAGCAGGGAGAGGATGGGCATATCTGAGCTATCTAGCCCATGACATTTTTTATTTTTTTTTTATTTTTTTTTTTCCCAGAACATCAGTTAAGAAAACAAATATCAAACGTTCCCCTGAGAGTTGCCAGCAAGTGAGCTAAGAGGCAGAAACTCAACCAATTATAACAGAAATACCAACATAACTACTTACCATAGAGTTATTTATATGACTTCACATTATTAATATTGACAGAGTTAATGTTGTAAATGATGAGATTGGGGGGGGAAATCCTCTTTCAATTCCTATTACAGGTTGTTGTTTTTAATTGTTATCATCCATGTTACCCAACCAAGGATAATGTCAACACCATTTAGGTTTATGTAATGACCACCATTCCCTTCACCTCCACCTACCTGTGTGAGTGCGGGTTTGCCGCTTTGACTTTGATCAAAAGCAAGTACCGGTCAAGGCTGCAACCAGAGGATGATCTGGACTCATTGTTCCCACTAGGGGTGAGTGTAATAAGGAGGCAAAGTTGACGTGCAGTGTGTTGCCGGGAGCATAAAAGGATTTATCCAATGTTGAAAATGTTAAAAACAATTACAGAATATGTTTAAAACATAAAGATAAAAAGGTTTTAAAAAGTTATTGTTTCATGTTTTAAGGAGGTGACGCGACTCAGCCAATCAAATCGGTGCAGTCAGTGAGTCAGCACGATAGATTCAAACACACACAGAGACGAGACAAGAAGAGAGAAACAGTCGGAGTCATTTCAAATGGCGTGCTCAAAAAAGAGAAAGGTTGACAGCTAAAACAGAGCATTTAATGACATGTCCTCTTGCTGGACCTCTTTGAAATGCAATTGAATACACCTGCATTATACAGTAGCAACAATAACAATAATAATAGCAATAATAATTGGGAGGGGGGGCTCGGCTGTTCTTATGTTCTCTGAGGGGAGGCTCACCTTCCCACACTTTGAAAACCCCTGCTTTAGAGAAATGCCAGTTAGAGGCAGTGTTGGGCAAGTTACTTCGAAAATGTAATATATTACATATTACTTATTACTGTCTTTTGAAATTAATAAGTTACATTACAATATTACTGTCTCTGAAATGTAATGAGTTACACTACTTTTAGTTCTTTCACCAAAATAACCGCAAAATAATGGCTAGGTATTATAAATGCTAAAATGTAGTTTAGTGCAGCTCATTATGCATCCAATGAAGGGCAATGTGGTATAGCATAACAACTGTGCCGGCCATTAAGGCTACTTATAACTTGTATTACAAGGCTTAGTTGAATACTCGATTCTGATTGTAAATTCTTAACATGTGACACGTTGTTAATAGAGTACAGACCACTGTCAAGGACTATAATGAAGTTTGCTAAGTAGGATCAAGAAAGAGAAAGGAAAAGAGGTTAAAAGACGGAGCGCTGGACGCCAGATAAATCACCAGAAGAAGGAAGAGAGGAAGTAAACAATAACAGGACACGGAATGGGTTCTTTTGTTTAGTATATGGCCGTGTACAGGCCCGGTTCCAGAACAAAATGACTCAGGGTGCATCTGAGATTACAGGGGGCGCAGCAGTAGTACGTTTACATGAGCAATAGTGGCCGGCAACAGCAATGAAAAATAGCATTGATGGTCCCCAATGAACAGATTATGGCATTTGTTATGTTTTGAAACCAAGCAAGTGAGAACATTTCAAGTGAGTTAAAAGTGCAATCCTGAAATATTTCATATAGTCCAAAGTGGACTGTGGCAAGGAAAAGCACAAAAGCTTCAAAACTGTAGGCCTACTGATAAAACAAATGAGAACATATTGTAAATCAAGGCAAATATGATTTGAACCAGCTCATGGTTTGAAATGGCAAACATTGAAAAGCAAAAGTATTATTAAAACCATGTACTAAATCATCACCTTGGTCCCATCATATACTCTGGGAAGAGAATATTTACTGTGCTTGAAAACTGGTTCTCATCATCATGTGAGGTTGACTTTTTGACCTGGAGCACATT